TGGCGGGATTCCCACGGAGCCTCGCGAGGATCGCAGCAAATTACCATCCCTATACAGGATCAACTTCAAAAATTATTAGGAGATCCACATATAAAACGATGGCATTCTAGTTAATGAAACCCACCCATTCTTTGCAACTTTTACCTTCTTCTGTCAAGCCCTAAATACCCCTCCTCATCCTGACTTACCTCCTTAGTGATCTGCCTCGGGCCCTATCTATCATGGGTTTGCACTTGAACTTTTCTCCCCTCTTTTCCTCCATCAATCTTTGGTCACTTTCTCCTTCAATCCCTCATCAGAAACCTTCTCTCATTCCTTGTATCATGCTCTGCTTGGGTGGGATAAACACTGTTTAGGTTGGAGAAACTCTATATTTTTTCAAAATGAAAACAATTTCGAATTAATGCCAATTTTCGTCTTTTTATTATAAAAAAAAATTCAATTTAAACCTTTTACTTTCAATTCAACTCATATCCATCCTCTACTATTAATTAACTACACGTCCTCCGACTACTATTAAAAAATATATCAGCGTCGTTCCTCCGTTCAAGTTCTGTCCAATTTTAGGGGTACCGGTTAATTTGTTGACCAGAACCATAAACCCGCCAGACATTCAACTCCCTTTTCATTTCCAATCCATGTATCCTAGTGCTGGTCAAGTTGTTTATTGGATTGCAAATAAAATGTACCTAAACTCAAAAATTTGATTTTTTTTATAAAGTAATAAATATTAATATTTAATTAATTAATTTTTTTTAAAAAAACACCTTTTTCATTTTATTTCTTTTACAACTGGGCTTCGGTGAGCCCCACCAGTGCAATATCAGATGTCCTTTAAAACCGTCGCCTGTGATTTCTTGACGTCATTCCCAAAATTCGTTTCAGGATCAGAGAAATTGAAGTTGGACCTCCCGTCTCTCATTCGGGGCTCCATCTCAGCCCAACTCGCCGATCCGCTAGCTGGTACCAGTCCTCCGACGGAACCACCACTTTAGAGCCAGAATCAGTCACTTCCAGTAAAGAGTCTGGCACCGGAGAGGACAGCAACTGAACGTACCTATTCCTCAAGTGCATGCACGAAGATGACGAAGCAGAATTTTGGACAAACTGGTTAAGGAATATGGAGATATCTTTAGGTTCAGCTGTAGACGACGGAGCGAATCCTTACGGATCTGCCATTGTCAAGCAGAAAAATCAAAGGGAAAACAGATGGAATCAAAGAATAATTAGAATCAGCAGCTAGGCAGCATCAAGTCGCCAGTACATTCACGATTAATTTCTTGCTTTCTTCCTCTGATGTTTTTAAGAGAAAGAATTTTAGTATTGAGCTTTTAATTAGGATTTTCGAAGATGATGGCGGTTGGCATGGAGCTCATTTTGCAAGCTGCGTAACCAGACTTTTGATTTTGATTAATCTCCTCCCTAAATATCAAACATTTTCTCACTTTTTCCATTTTATAGCCCCATACTTATTTTATAATTCGTTATTGTCCTTTTATTTTGGTTTATACTTAATTCCACCACATCCATATATTTTGTTCCAAAAGCTCCTTTTCTTTTAATCTTCTTGTCTTTATTATTTATTAAAAAATAAAGATATTTCTTTTATATTTTAATTTTTAAGACTATTTAACTTAATACAAGCTTTCAAAAACTTACACGTTTTTCTTTTTATTTTTGAAAACTTAAAACTAAATTAAGAAAATTTCACCTAAAATTTTGAATTTGTAAATTTAACTTAACTCTGAGGAAAAAAAAGATCCAACTCGTATTTTTTCAAATATTTTGTTTAAAATTTGATGGCATATGATAAATGAGAAAAAGAAAAATCAAGATGTCTTAAAATTAAGAATATTATGACTTCTAATTACAATTATTAAATATATGATATATAATGTGAGTTTTAATTTTATTAAATTTTTTATGTGATTATTATTTAACATCCTAACATTTTTCATCTTGATTTTTTCTTTTCCCATGATAAATAGTGTTGAGTATAGTTTGACAATTTGAATGTAGGGAGAAGGACAACTGGAGCTGGAGGAGGGATGGGAATGAGATAAGGAAAAATTGTAGGGACTTCGGTGACATTTATGCATTATTATGGAGGGTAGGGAAAAAAGTGAAAGAGGGTTCAATGCGCGTGGTGTCCAACCGAATGCGTCAGCTACAGAGGAAGGGGCATTAACTGAAAAAAAAAAAAAAAACCAAAAGCAATGCAATTCCCAACAATTAAACGCCGTCTGATGTGGTGTTGGTGGGGCCCACCAAAGCCAAGTCTGAAAATGATAAAAATAAAAACGGGTTGGATGTTTGACTGATGGTTAATGGTCTGCAAACTGTTCCTTACCTTAAAATTGGACAAAACTTGGACAAAAGAACGACATTTGATATATTTTTTAACAGTAGTGGAGAAATATGTGTAGTGAATTAATAATAGAGGGATGACATAAAATAAATTAAAAGTAAAAAGTTTAAATTAAATTTTATTTTATTATTATTATTTTTTTTTGAACAGATTTTACAAGGATTGGGTTTGAACCCCAACCTGGAGAGGGAGGAGTGCACATGGTGGCTTTTGTCACTTGACCCGAATGGTTCGGTGCAAATTAAATTTTATTTTAATAGTAAAGGGATGATAATTGGTATTAATTCAAAAAATTTCATAGTTTTTCTTTTTACTTTTTGGGAAACGTTTCAAAAAAGATAATTTGTATTTTTAGTTCCATTGGATGAGATAATCATGGTTTTTTCTTTGCCATATTGAGTAGGGATTTGCAGGACTCCACCTCTCTTTGCCCTTCATCTAAAAAGTAGGGTGTTTCTTTATTCCTTTTAAATTATGGTTGTGTGATGGTATTGTTGTTAAATGCTGAGTGTTCATGCTCTATTTTTTTTCATTTGTAATATTTTTTTTGTATCCCAAAAAGACAGGATACTATTGGACAAAAAGCATAAAAAAAAAAAAAAAAAAAAAAACCGATGAAGAAGCTAAAGAATCTATAAAAGTTATAGCCACAACTCAAGGAAATGTCCCAAACTTGAGATTGGAATGCAAATCCATCAATGAACTCGGAATAGTGAAGGATTGAGCGATAGATTTCACAACTGGAATTGCAACACACTTACAGTGAGAAAAGCAAGAGATTGCTGCAGGGTAGTGCAAAGGGAAATCAAGATGGACGCTTTCTGATGAGACATCGATAGTAAAGAAAGGAAATGGTGGGATTCGAGGGGAGGAATGTTTGATTCGTAGTGCGCTTTTCTTTTATATATACTGGATTGAAATGGCATTCCTATCCAAAGATCCAACAATTTATTTATTAATGCTAAAAACTAGTTGACGTGCAATGAAACTACTTTAGCAAAGTATAATTTGCTCAACACTTCTTCTTTTTTGTTTTTTAAATTTGCGATCAAAGTACTCATTAATTTTTATGTATTTTAAAATTAATTTTTTTAAACAATCTTAAAAAATACATTTTTTATATTGATTTGATATGCTTAAAAAAAAATAAACTTACGTATTGATTTCAAAACTTAAATTTTAAAATTAACATGAACTTATTTCTTAGTGGGTACAATCCTTTGGTTTGCTCAACACTTTCCACACAATTGAAATTGAGGTGACAAATGAGGCAAAATTTTCCGGGATGAATGCAACCCCAACAGGTCCACAAGGGAAGACTTGTTTGGAATTGTTTTTACCCACACGATGGATGAGCAATTTGTACTTTTGTTTTTCTGCATGGTTTTCATCACTGTTTATTACTTGAGCTAATCCTAACTAGTTTAATGGTATTTTTTATTTTTAAAATGGATCATAGTTTTGATTGTATAATTTTTTAGGAAAGGCAATTGCAAAGTTGTGATTATATTTTTATTGGCACATTAAAAAAAAAAAAAAGACGAAAAGGCCAAGGAGCTTGGTGTGCCCAAAGGAAAGTTCGAAGTAAAACAACTAGAGGTCGTCTCAGAAGGGGACAAGAGACCCAAGAGGCTCCAATTGAGAAATTTTGTGAATTATTTAATAATTAGTTGTAATGAGCCTAATTATCCATTGTAGATTTTATTTTAGTATTGCAGAAGAACTTTACAAAAAATTACTATTCTCTCCATTTAATTTTATCATTCCTTTGATTTTTTTCATTTGCAATTTTATGTAATACCTTTATAGTACATAAATGTTAATTGTTAATATATATTTTTTATTTTGATATCAGATGTCTGCGGATGGAAACAACCGCTATGAACAAATTGATTGCAATTACACAGTGTTATAAAGATAATTTTTTATATAATTTTTTATATAATTTTTACGTATCATTAAATAAGTGAATATATTCAATATTACAAATTTCATTTAAATAAAAAGAATCAATAATTTAAATAACATATCAAATTGTACAAAAAAATTATCTTAAAATCATTTCCCTTGATTGCAATTATTTATATAGATCATAGTACACATTAAATTTTAAGTTGATTTTATTAATATTTATAATTATTTTATTAAATAAATTATAATTTTTAAAAAAAATTGTAATTTTAACAATATTTAATGACATAAAATATTGTATAATTTAATAGTAGAACAAATTCATTTTCTTGGTTCCACAATAATGCTCATTTTTTTTAACATCCACAAATTAAGAATTAAAAAAAAAAAAGGTATTTCATACCAATATTACCCTTAAAAAATGAATAAGAATAACAAAAAAATTTGGATAATGAGGTTGATAATTAAAGTTAAGCAATAACAGTAGTACCATTGGAATGAGAATAAATTGTTTGTTTACCTTGAAAGCTTAGGGACAATTTTTTTTTTTTTTTTGTAAAAAACCGATTGCTCTTTTTGCTCTAATCTATTTATCTCAGTTTCTATTTTAATAAAATATTAATATTTTATTTTTATTTTTTTAGAAGAAATAAAAATATATTAAAATTTTTTATTTAATTATAAATATGAGTCAAAATAAAAAATTAATTTTAATTATTGTAATAAATATATTTTTTATACTAGTTGAATGAATAAAGTGGAAAATCAAATTATACCAAAAAGAGGGTGGGAGGGATATAAAATTTAGTGTTCTGGGAAAATGAAAAACCAAGTTGTCCTGGTAAAAACTTGCCAGGACAGCCTTAAAGAAATGGTAACGTTTTATTATAATGAGGTTATAATGAGTATTTTACTCTTTTTCACGGTAAACCCTTTGTTATGTTATATTTTTTACAATAAACTCTTTTCGTAAATTGTTCTGCTTCTCTTTCACAGACACAA